ATGTTCTGGGTCTCTCTGACCCAGCTGCAGTTTGTTAGGTAATTTTAGATTGCAAAGGGCCAGGCCATTCATATGCAAAAGCCTCTGCGCACAGCTTGGGTGGGGTGGGGTCTCAGGGAATCAACAGGGTGGAGCAAACAGTTATGGCTGATCCTCAGCCCTGCCCTAAGAGGCCCCGGATCTCAGTGTCCCGAAGTGATCGCTCTAAGCACCTCTAAGAGAAAGCCGCCCTTGAGTTTCGCCCGATGCCAGACAGTCCACTTTCTCCCCGTATGAGTCTGAGTCCCCAGATATTAGCCCGGAACTGGAGTTCAGAGCAGTCGGGAGCTTGTGACTCCCTCCTGATTGAAAAAGACAACTGTGTCCTCAGTTGCCAGCCCTTTCCTTCTGCGCCTCTGTACCTCTGCACTTTACTTCTGCTCCTTCTCTGAGCCTCTGTGTGCTTTTCTCTTTCCTTCTAGTTGTAAAATTTCCACCCAGCCAGCATTCCTGTGGTTCTGGATGATGTCCGTTTTTTCTTTCAGTTGTATTTTTGAAGTGGTTGTGCGAGGCAGCAATTTCAGGTGTTTACCTATGCCACCATCTTGGTTTCTCCCTCTTAATCTCCTATATTTCTATCTCCCTTAGCATTCTGTGATATTAAAACATTTTTATTGTTTTTCCCCATAGAATTTTGGATATGAAATGTAGAAAGGAAAAAAGTAAAGCATCAAAACTCAGAGAAAGACAAATTCTTGAAGTTTTGCTGCCTAAAACATAACATTGCTGTTTGCATAAATATCAGTACTGTTTCTCTTCAGAATAATTGAAATGCCTTTGTGTATAATATCCCCTTTACCTTTTGTTTCTAGCTGGTAGCAGTGTTTGATGAACAGGATCCACATCATGGAGGTGATGGCACCAGTGCTAGCTCCACAGGCACCCAGAGTCCAGAGTTATTTGGCAATGAGCTTGGCACCAACAATGTTTCAGCCTTTCAGCCTTATCAAGCAACAAGTGAAATTGAGGTCACACCTTCAGTCCTTCGTGCAAGTAAGCGAAAGTGCATTCTTTATTTTTTTTTAAATTAAATCTTTATTGTTCAGATTATTACATTTGTTCCACTTTTTTTCCCCCTATAGCTCCCCTCCACACAGTTCTCACCCTACCCTCTGCCATTACCCCCCACTGTCCTCATCCATAGGTGCACAATTTTTGTCTAGTCTCTTCCTGCATCTCCCACACCCCTTTCCTCTCCAAGAATAGTGAGTCCATTCCCTTTCTATGTCCCTGATTCTATTATAATCACTAGTTCATTCTGTTCATCAGATTATTTATTCAATTGATTCTTAGATTCACTTCTTGATAGATGCATATTTGTTGTTCATAATTAGTAACTTTACCTTTTTCTTCTTCTTCCTCTTCTTAAAGGATACCTTTCAGCATTTCATATAATACTGGTTTGGTGGTGATGAACTCCTTTAGCTTTTCCTTATCTGTGAAGCTCTTTATCTGACCTTCAGTTCTGACTGATAGCTTTGCTGGATAAAGTAATGTTGGTTGTAGGTTCTTGGTATTCATCACTTTGAATATTTCTTGCCACTCCCTTCTGGCCCGCAAAGTTCCTGTTGAAAAATCAGCTGACAGTCTTATGGGTACTCCCTTGTAGGTAACTGAGTTTCTTTCTCTTTCTGCTTTTAAGATTCTCTCTTTGTCTTTTGCTCTTGGCATTTTAATTATGATGTGTCTTGGTGTGGTCCTCTTTGGATTCCTTTTGTTTGGGGTTCTCTGTCCTTCCTGGACTTGTAAGTCTATTGCTTTCACCAGGTAGGGGAAGATTTCTGTCATTATTTCTTCAAATAGGTTTTCAATATCTTGCTCTCTCTCATCTTCTGGCACCCCTATAATTCTGATGTTGGTACGCTTGAAGCTGTCCCAGAGGCTCCTTACACTATCTTCGTATTTTCGGATTCTTTTTTCATTTTGCTTTTCTGGTTGGGTGTTTTTTGCTTCTTCACATTTCAAATCTTTGCCTTGATTCTTGCGCTCCTCTGGTCTGCTGTTGGCTGTCTGTATAATATTCGTTATTTAGGTTGGTGTATGCTTAATTTCTAGTTGGTTCTTTATCATAACATTGAGGGTCTCATTAGATTTCTTGAGGATCTCATTAAGTTTATCAGCGGCTTCTAGACAGTTCTTTTTTTTTCAGTTTTAAATCTGTGTTTTTATTTTATCTCAGGATATTACTAAAATATAAAGCTGAGGGAGCATCTTTATTCTGTTTTTTTTTTAAATTAAATCTTTATTGTTCAGATTATTACATTTGTTCCTCTTTTTCCCCCCATAACTCCCCTCCTCCCAGTTCCCGCCCCACTCTCCGCCCTCACTCCCCACCCACTGTCCTCATCTATAGGTGCACCATTTTTGTCCAGTCTCTTCCCGCATCCCCCACACCCCTTTCCCCCCCAAGCATAGTCACTC